GGCGGCGCGCGGTATCAAACAGCGCGGAGCGGCTGAAATTTTCACACACGTTGCGCAGTGGGTAAACGATGTCGTAGAACAACGGGGGGGACGGCGTTGGAATCAGACGATCAATACACACCTAATAATCGACGACTCGTCGAAATCAATTTTTTTTGAAACACCCTACCCGAGGCTCTCACCTCACCCATGGGCCCGAAACCAGCGGAGCCCGCAGCCGAAAACTCATCTGCATACCATTACAGCATAGAGATTTTCGCTCCGTTTCCCTGCCGTTTCAGGATTCTACGTCCACCCACGGTTGGGCACAGTATTCCCCTGCATTCCTGCCCTAGAATGAACTTCAGTTTTCGCAGCGGATCGCGCAAGTAGTAAGAATAGTCCGCGAATAATAAAAGTGACAGCCGTCACATAAACTTCAAAATTTCCTATATTTTTCCCCACTACTTCATCTGATACATTTTTTTCCGCTCCGTGCTCTTGCTCCGGCTGCTCCGGGTCTACACTACTTTCCAGCAGCGAGGTGTTACTCGCGTGCCCGCGGTAACGCACCGGCTGGCGGGCCTCTGGCGGGCCCTGGCCGGGCCCCTGAGGCTCGCGCGGCGAGTGCCGCACATTATGTCCGGGCGCGCTCAGCAGCGGAACAACAAGGACAGCCGTGTCTCATCCTGAGGATGGCCAACTGCTGAGAACGGGATGGTATGGTATGAAATGCTTGTCGAGGTTTCCCCATATTAACTTATGTGCGGGCAATGATGAAGAGATTTTCAACGCCGTGCCGGATTCGGTTACAACTGACCTTAAGCGCGGCGCGGCCAGTAATCGAAATGATTGATAAAAGTTAACATCATTGGTACATTGTCACACCCCTGGAGGTCCCCTCATGATGACCGTTTCCTCCCGGGGTGACTATGACAGCGCGTGCAACGTGCTGGGAGAGTCACCCTCGCGATCTCCTGCCGCTTGCACTGCAGCGAGAAGAAACTAAAGTGGAACCGAACCGACATCAGCCGTGCGGGAGAAGGTTCGACGGCCAGGCCGACAATGTTAACGAGGCGTATGTGTTGGTGTGTGTGTGTGCGTGCGTGCGTCCGTGTGTGTTGTCTCGACGCGCGTGTGTGTGTGTGTATGTGTGTGTTTGAGTGCGCGGTGCGCGGGGGCGCTCGAGGCGCTGCCGTGGGTGGAGAGGCTCCGGACCGGAACCACTCGCGTGCTCGCGGCGAGGAGGAGGAGCGCCCGAGCCTGCCCACCTCGTCCGCTTTCACACCAAGCAAAGCGAGTGTGTGGCACACTGTGCGGCACACGGAGTGCTCCAGCTGATCGCTCACCTGTTGAGTCCCGCGATGGCGCTCTGCAGGCCGGCGGCCAGCCCGTGTGGCGAGGGCGGCGCCGGGGCTGCGGGGGTGGTGGGGGCGGCTGGCACGACGGGGGCGGCCG